TTTGAAAAAGATAAGGAGGGATTCGAAAAAGAGAGTCTATCCTCTATTATATAGTTTATTATTCAATTTATAAAAAAGAAATAACCTCAATTGTTCTATTTCAAATCTCTTTGTTGGTATTCTTTTATAAAGAAGAACCCTTTAATATAAATGAAAAGTATAAAATAAAAATAAAATATATTGTGTAGTTTGAATTGTATTAGATTTTACAACTTAAACCATTGAATAAGAGATATGTCTTTTAATATTAGGGATTGTTCTCATCTAATGGTCTATGTTTTATGGTTCAATAATATAGACTATAGAGCAAAATAGAGTACTCATAAAAACAACACCAAAATTTATAAACAAAATGGGTTTTTCAAATTGCATATTTAATTTATATATATAAAACTATTGTAACAAGTTCGAAAATAAATACCCATTGAATTTTAAAAAAATCATTAATAAATACCTATTATATTTTAAAAAATCCCCAACAAATACCCATTAGACTTAAAAAGAAAAAGAAAACTTAATGGGCTAAATATTCAATTAATCATAGGAATTAATAGAATAAGAAATAAATTTAAAATATTTTATTACATAATTATTCAAACAAACCTCAATTAATTTTAGTGTATGGGTCCCCAATAAATATCTAAACAAGTAAACAAGTTTCGCTACACAATCCTCAATTACTTTTAGTGTGTGGGTCCCATGTAAATATCTAAATAAGTAAATAAGTTTTGTATTATATATATAACTAGATTGTTTCAGCCTGTGCCTTGCACGAGTTGTTTTTTAATTTTTTATATTAAAATTTATATTTTATATTATTTTTTAAATTAAGTTTTAAAATTTATAATTTTTTTAAAATATTCAAAATAACAAATTAAAGTCGAGCTTAAAATTACTTTTGATAATTAATAATAATATTTTTTTAAAAAGTTATATAAAATCATATTTAAAAAGAAAAAAATGTTAAGAAAACTCATAAAACATCCATTATTAATCTTCATCTCATAATAAAAAAAATTCATTTTTTTAACTATTATTTTAATTAATAATTCATACGAATATTTTATGTTTTTCTCAATTATAGAGCTAAAGTTAAATAAAAATATAGTTATATTTCTTCATATTTTTTATTTCAATTGCTTTAGAATTATAATCAAATAACAAATAAAACTAAATATTAATCTTATTAATTTATTTTTTTAATTATTTTAGCTCATGCATATATGGGATTTGATTTTTTTTATTTTATATCTATATTATGTGGTTTTCTTTTGTATATATTTTTTATGATAAAATTATTTTGAAGAAATGCAAATTGTATTTGTTAAATAAATTAAATGACAAAAGGTTAGAATATTTTGTATTTTGTATTAGAAAATATGTTTTTTTTTTTTTTTTTTGAACAAGTTGTCAAGCGGCAGGGTCGAAGCTTGCTCATGGGGAAGGGGGAATGCACCTCAAGCCGGCAGGCTGTCAATTGACCCGAAAGACCAGGTGTGTATTAGAAAATATGTTTTTGACTTTATATTGCACCAAAATGTGTATTTTCACCTTAAGGTAGTGTTAGACTTTTATAACAGCTCTCATATATTGTAAATTTTAGTTTTAAAACTTTTTAATTAATCAAAATTTGATACTATTTTGATTTTCTAACATTAAATCTTGTCATTTTTGTTTTATCTTTGCTCTTTTTTAATTTTTTAGTGGTTCATATTAAACCTTGAAGTATCTTTAGTTGCAATAGTCATTATTATTAGACTAGAATTTAAAGTTTTATTTATTTATTTATTTAATTTTGAGATACACAATGTCACGCCCCAGATCCCAAATCCGGGGACGTGGCAGACGCCGTGCACTCGTGAACGAGTCCCACGAATGCATAAGGCTCAGAACTTTATCATACCACAATCTGATACTACAAAATTTGAAGATAAAATTATAAAATTTGCTCTGATATTATAAAATCTCCAAATAAAGTCTAGCTTATAAGATCATGATTTATATCTAAAATCTATGTTCAATTTACAAGATGGCTAGCTATCTAACTCGTCACTTCCCTCGTTTTTCCCCATCCTTGACTACGCTTCCTGAAATGGTGGACAAGGAAAAACTATGAAATAACTCAGTAAGTAAATATGGATAGCCCTTAATTAAACTTATAGCATGCCAACAAGTATAATTACGAAAAACAGGTACGAGTACGTAAATGAAATAGACGTCTCCTTTATAGGTTATGGCCAGTGTTATAAACCTCCCACTGGCAGGCACACGATTTACTAGTGTATAATCCCACTAGCAGGATTACATAAATACCAGTGTTTAACAACTCCCACTAGCAAGAGGAACCGGCTCTACAGAAGTACATGTCGACATGTGCTAGTGTTTATAAACCTCCCACTAGCGGGCACACGAATAACATGACCATATCGGAGACAAAACCAAGCAAAGTTAACAGGAAAATCATAATTCACAAATAATTTCCAAATCATTAGGGCAGTTAAGTAAACTCCAAGAAGGCATACTCAAATCAATAAAAAGAATAATAATTTCATTTCAAATTGATCATACTTGTATAAAACGGGTTTAGTCCCGCCACCACTTCAAAAACAAGCTAAAATGTGCTTTAAAATCGGAGGGCATTACCATAATTTACTTACCTCAAATCGCATAACATCGAGGACTCAATCCAAGTGCTCTAAGCCATAACAACACCTAATATTCCAAATAAATACATTCAGACATTACTAGAATTATAGGCATAACCTCACAAATTTACTAACCAATGAGCTTCACACGAAATTCAGCCATAATATAACTCACTTTTATTCAAAACTGTATATCTACCCAAGGTCCAAATATTTTTAAATAAAATCATAATATCCAAAAATCTCCTAAACAAGAGGTTTTAGAGCCAAATTTCACCAATTTGGTTTCCCAATCCCACGGACACAAAATGGGAAAACATGGCTTGTATGTCAATCATTTGTCTTTTGCAAAAATAGAGGCTAAGACACGGGATCTTCATAGATAGCATCATAGCAGCCAATTCAAGAAAATTCTACATAAATTAAACTAAAAAAAACACAACCTAATGCTGCCGAAATTCTTCCCTCTTCCAGCAGAAACTTCCGATAGCGTAGGAGCAGATTAAAAGTAGAAAATTCGAAGATACAAGGCAGCAATCACATGGATGAAATTTAACAACACAGAGCAGCAATTAATTGATGAAATTTTGGGCTTGGAGGAGCTGTCAACATACCAGAATTTCCAGCAAGCAAACCGGAGCTGCAAGCTAGGGAGGCTGGCGGGAATTTGGGGAGAATTCGGCAAATCTACCGCAAATTGGGAGAAACCTGTTTGGGCAGCTTCGCGATCCAACACCGTTGAAGTCTTCAGTTGCTTCCACATCTGAAATTCTCGAGGTTGTTTCCTCGGGGAAAACACTCCGACGCTCAAGTCAGCAATACTCGATATTCTAGAGAGAGAGGCTCTCAAAGAGTAATTGCAGAGAGAGAAGGGGAGTAGAGATTAATTACCCTCATCAGAGGTAGTTGGGAGGTATTTATAGCCCCAAATGCTGACATGCATTTGTACATGTAAGCATCTCATTGGCCCACGTGGCGCTGTTCACGTCGGTATGCTTGTACGGGTGCTCCCTCACTTTGGGCTAATGGGTGTCAGCTTAGACCCATTATGTACTGCCCAAATTGAATGTTGGGCCTATTCCAACATTACTCCCCCCTTGGTGTTCGGTTGACGAACTGGGTTGAATGTGTTTGTGGCCCAACGTTTGAGCTGGTGACTAGGACAGACAACCTTTGCAGCTTATGACTTGCAGCTTATGACCGACCTCGTTGATGGCCGATTTGAAGGGTGGCACCGATTACATACATCAATGGGAAGGTTCAATCAAATTGTAGTTGTGCAACCTGTGCTTCAAGTGACCCCACAAGGTATACGAGTAAGACGAGCTCATAAGCCTGAAAGGGTATGGGCAGGTTGATATCATAACCTCGCTAGCATGGGCTCGGTATATGATCAAGCTAAAGTGGCTCACAAAAGGTAAGCTCGCCTAGTGAATAGCCATGTACTCAAATTTAGAGTGTTGCTCGCTATTTCAACGAGCTCATCCACATTGACATGAGCGCGAGCAAACGTGTGATGACCTGAATTTTGGATACTGCTGAAGGTTTTGAAGTGACCAGGTAATGTTGTCACTCGAACATAGGGACGATCTGAGATGAGGCGACCTCAACCATAGAACGATTTGAGATCTTTGAATAAACATGGTGCCCAAACCGAGCTACAGCAAAATGAATCTCGTATGTGCGACGAGGTTAAGTAGAGCGAACTCGAACATCTTACGATCTGTGATCTCTGAAGAGTTGTCACTCTTGTGACGATCTGATAAATGTGGTCACCATGACGAGCTAGTATGGATGGGATAAGGAACATATCAACCTGTTACGATCTAAATCTTGGGGATTTTCCTAAATCAATCAAATCTTTGAGGAGATACGATTGATCTCCCGTATCTCTTTGCCTTCCCTGCCATAAATGCTGGCTCAGCATTTGAGGGGACGTGACAACTAAAGCCGGCGCACGCTATACCAAAGAGGGTTAAACACCTGCCATGTGTGGGATGCTAACTGGCGCGTCAGAGACACGGGTACGACAATTAACACTGCAATTGCGGTGTCATTCTTTGCATAACCGTTTCCCTTTCCATTTTCCATTTCACTGTTTGTTTGCATTTGCTGAGATTCTCTGTAGCAAAGCGTTTGCAACTTGAAGAACAAAGCACCAGACCGTAAACACTACACGCACACATCAATCTCATGTAAAATGGACTTCTTTAGAGAACTTAGAGAGCTATGAGGTAACCAGGGCAGAGAGGAAGAAGAGGAGGGGGTTATTTCTGTAGAGCCTATCGCGATGATAGTGCCGCCGGCCCTACAGGACTTGCTGGAAACAATAACGCCTGAGAGCAACGCTAGTTCAAGCGTTAGGGACGACGGTGGTGACCACCACACTTCACCGTCCAACAGTTTGTCCTTTGAAGAGACACCCAGCCGTGAGGAAGAGACGGGGAATGTGGTTTGGCAATGAACCATATCTGCTCGTGGTTGGAGAATGGGAAAATAGGGTAATCATGGGTAGATTGAGCAACCTACGCAAGGCACCCAAAGAACTACCTTTTGGTTTTAGGTTCAGGGCGGCGCTTCACCATGAAGTGGCAGATAGCGCGCCCTTAATAAGTGGGTATAAGAAATTGGAGGAGATGGTGAGGTCGTACCACATCCCCAAAACAATACTGCTCCGAGCTTGCACACAGAATGAAAGGGCTTGCACAGTGTCACAGACGGGCTGGATACTAGTGTACGTTGATCACTTTGACGCTGGCCTGTGATTTCCCTTGCCCAGGCTGATATTTAATCTTCTGGCAGATTACGAGCTGGCTCTGACGTAGCTGACGCCCAACAGCATAAGGTTCATCATAGGCTTTATGCTGTTGTGTGCGAGGTTGGAGATACTAGCCAAGGCGATAGTGTTCAGGTCACTGTTCCAATGTCGGTTGTGTCCCAACTCTAAAGGTGTGAAGTGGTATTACCTTTCTAGGAGGGAGAAGAGCCAACTCTTTAAGAACGTCAGGAACAAAGTAGCGAGGTGAAAGAGGCAGTTTTTTTTTGTTCGTGACACGTGAACAGAAAGAATAAACAACGATCTCACTGCTCGGCTCTCTAAATGGTGCGTGCCGAACACGCATGTAAACTACCCCCAACTGTTGCCTCGGGATACGGACCTGAAGAATCAGCTGCTAGAGTATGCAAAGAGGGAAAATTTAATAGACTTAGAAGCCCTGGCTACCTCGGAGCAGCTCGCCATGTTCAGGTTTGTCGACGTGGCAAACCAGTTCACAGAAGCTATACTTTTATCATATACTATGAATTCTAGCCGAGTTGAGTCTTATATATTTGTTTGTGCAGGGGAAATGAGTAGCATATTGGAAAGGCAGTGCCAAGGAGCCCAGGGCTCCCGAGGTCGCACGGCGGGCAGCGCCTCACAGAGACAGACACGATTTGACGAGCGGCCGCCACCAGCGCCACAATCTCGCAGCTCGTCACATCGTGGTTCCAACTTGGCGTCCAAGCCTCGCGCCGAGCATAGAGCTAAAGCTGTGGCTCCTGTTGCACGCAGGCGTTCGCGTGAGGACACTGACAGTGAAGATGAGGTCCCCCTTATACGGCGTAGAACAAGTTTGGCGACCCAGCCCGCGCAGGCGATTCAAATTGCAGCCGCGCGCTCGCCTAGCGTGCCGTCTGCCATGGCACAAGCAGCGGCTGAGCCCACATCTGCGTCAACATCGATGTTGGCGCCGCGGATTGCATATCCGATCGGCTTCAGCTATGTGAAGACCAATTGCCAGCCCGCCATGGTGCAAGGCAAGCAAAGCTTTGTGCCTCCTGTAGATCGTCAACAGGCTAGGACTTATGTACAACAGCATGGCGAGCAGGTCGCCATGATCAAACTGATGGACGTAAGTATTTCTTCGCAGTTGCGTGGTTATTCTGCTATTTCACCTAAGAGACTAACAATTAATGTTATCTGGCAGGCGTTCAGCTACGTGGTCACGTTGTTCGAGAGCGAGCAGGGGGCTCGTACGCAGAACAACGAGCTCAGCGCCAGTTGTAAACAGCTGGCCGTAGAGAAAGCGAGCCTAGTAGACGATGTCAATCATCTACAAGGCTCTGAGATGGCCACACGAGCTGCTTCGGCGGAGAGTCGAGTAGAGGAGCTCATGAGTAAGAACAATGAGCTCAAGGAAGAGCTGGAGAGGGCCCATGCTGAGAAAGAAAGCGACATCCAAGCAGTGAAGGATGAAGTCACCGGATTAAGGAATGGGCCAAAAAGGCTGAGGCCGAGAGGGACCATGCTCTGAACGAGCTGAGGTCCCTAAGGCGACAAGTCACCCAGGCTGACCAGAACCTTAACGAAGCAGAAGAGGCCTTGAACAGAGTGAAGGCATCTCATGGGTGCTCTGTAAGCATAGCCCGTATCAAGGGGTAGAATGGTTGGTGGGCTCAGCCGTGTTCCAAGACGCTGTGGCGGTGGCGTCTGCAAACATGACCACGGAAATCTACAACGAGATCTGTGGAAAAGTGCTGCAGCATCGCCCGGACTTCCCAATACGTGAGCTGGCTTTCTTTGACGGGGAGGACCTTGACGAGCAGGGTAACAGCCTTGCTCCTCTTGTTGATACAACAGTGTGGTTGAGATAAGAGCTCAATGAGGAGGGAGTACTCGTTTGGCCTCCCTCAGTCTTAGAAGAAGGGGAGGATCTAGAGGGCCTGCCTCATTCGATGTATGGGTGGAAGGGGCTCTGGTGGCTGAACCAGAGCCGTCGAACACTCCCCCACCCTCTCAACCAGCCGTGGTGCCGGCGGGGTCTCCAGTTACTGCACTAGCTCACCAGCCTGTTGCCCGGCCCTTCAGCTCGTGCCTCAAACCCTCATGCTGACGTGTCCACGCCCGTCGACCTGACGGACAATTAGTTTAGGGTTTTACTTTTTGTTCTTTTGTATTTTTTGTTTCTTTCCATGAACAATTGTATCATGATGTCCTGTATTGAAACTTATAATTTTTTGAACAAAAATAGAAACTTGGAGATTTTATCGAACTGTTTCTTCTTTATTATATTGTATGCATGGTTTACATTTCCTTGAACAAATCCCTCACTAACATATACTTTAACTGTAAAATCTTCTGAGATTATGTACATTCCAAATATATGGTAACTAGCATCCTTGTATGTCTGCTAACACATAAGACCCAGGTCGCTTAACTTGAACAACCATATAGGGACCTTCCCAATTAGGAGCGAGTTTGCCCATGTACGAATAAGCATTGGTTAAACCAACTTTGCGTAAAACTAGATCGCCAACCTGAAATTGATGAGTTCGGACTCTTTTATTATAAAATTTAGCAACACGACCTTGATACGCCATGTTTTTTATTCGAGACACCTCCCTAACCTCTTCTATGAGATCTAAGTTCTCTCTTAAAAGTCGCTCATTATTAAGATCATCATGCCAATCTGATCTGTCAGATGGCAACCCCACCTCTACAGGGATAACAACCTCAGCTCCATAGGCGAGGCTGAATGGGGTTTCACCTGTAGCCGAGTCAAGTGTAGTGCGACACGACCAGAGCACTTTATTCAACTCGTTGACCCAATTAGAATGTGCGGCTAGAACACACATCTTGAGGCATCGCAAGACGATTTTATTGGCGGACTCGGCTTGTCCATTCGACTGTGGAGTATATACAGAGGTCAAGGCAAGCTCAATGCCATAGTTGTTGTAGAACGACTTCAGTGCCGTTGCTCGGAACTGGGACCATTGTCAGCGATGATCCGTTTAGGTATGCCGAACCTGTACACAGATGACTGAGCTGAGCCACAAATTATATGTGTATACAATGTACAAATGGCTTAAGCCACCAAAGAATACCTGCATAATATTGAATCAAACAGGAATTCCTCTATTTTCTTCTTCGTTGTCATGGATAATGGTTTGGCTTCTATCCATTTGGTGAAGTAATCCACCGCGACAACTAGGTAAGTGCAACCTCCTTTGCCTTTGACAAAAGGGCCGAGCAGATCGACTCCCCATTGAGCAAAAGGCCAAGGAGATGAGAGTGATGAGAGCATTTCTCCTCTTTCAACGAAGACACTTATGCTCAGTTTATAGACAAACATGAAGTTTGTACGAACTTTAGAACGAGCTCGATACCTGGCATATGAATATCATTAGCATTGAACTGGTAGGTTGGGCACTTTTTGACATAGCTTTGTGCGTCCTCGACCATAGTAGGCCAGTAATAACCATGCTTCAGGAGTTTCTGAGCTAAAGTTCTACCACCTATGTGTGTGCCACATACTCCTTCATGAACTTTCTCTCATAGCGTATTCAGCTTCATAAGGAGTAAGGCAGCGTAGTAGGGGCATTGAGGCTGCTTACTTGTAGAGCTGATTATCTAACAGGGTGAAATGTGCCGCCCTACGTTTAATCAACTTTGCTGTGGACGGATCTTCAGACAGCTCGCCACTTCGCAGATACTCTATAAGTGGGGTAGTCCAGCTCGGTGAAGAGGGATTTGTGCTTAGCAGTTGACACTCGATTGTGAAATTGGTGTAGCTCGGGGCGTCAAGTACCTCCACAATTGTTGATCTCTGAGGGTTGATATCTTGTGAGGAGGCTAACTTTGATAGCTCGTCAGCTCGTTGGTTATGTGCTCTGGGTATCTTGTTAATTTGGAAAGAGGCAAATCCTGATTTCAATCTGTTGACCACAGAGGCATAACGACCAAGCTGAGGATCCCTGATTTCACAGCTGCCATTCACTTGGCCCACCACGAGCTGAGAATCACTGAAAACTTTAATGCTCTGCACTTTCAGCTCGGACGCCAGCTTCAAACCATAAATGAGGGCTTCATATTCTGCAGCATTATTAGTTGTCTGAAACTTAAACCTTAATTCATGCTCGGATTTAAAGCCATCTAGGCCCACTAACACAGCCCCAGCACCTGATTCTTCAATATTAGCAGCTCCATCTACGTACAAGACCCAGACTGGGTATTTGGGTGCCCTTTCTTCCACCGTCGCTGAAAGGCACTCCACTAGGAAGTCCGCCACAGCCTGGCCTTTTAAGGTTGTGCGCGGCTGAAATTTGAGGTCATACTCACTCAGTTCAACGCTCCATCTAATAAGTCGACCAGAGAGTTCCGACCTTTGCAATATCTTCCTTAATGGCAGATCGATATAGATAATAATTTGATGTGATTGGAAGTAAGCTCTCAATTACGAGCCGTGTAAACCAGGGCGAAAGTAGCCTTTTCTGCTAGTGGATAGTTCTGCTCTGCGTCTTGTAAAACCTTGCTCACATAGTAGATAGGCTTCTGATGTTTATTCTCTTCCCTAAGCAAAACCGAGCTCACCGCCTCCTTTGTAACCCCCAAATACAGGTATAAATTCTCCCCTTCCACAGGCTTGGACAGTAGGGGTGCTGACGCCAGATATCGCTTGAGCTCGTTAAACGCTTGTTGACACTCGTTGGTCCACTAAAAGTTCTTGGGCTCTCGCAGGGCTTTAAAGAACGGGAGGCACCTTTTTGCCGACCTAGCTATGAATCTATGTAACGCAGCAACACGACCAGTCAGACGCTGCACGTCTTTTAGGTCTTGGGAGGCTCCATCTGCTGAACGGCCTGAACCTTCTCTGGATTCACCTCAATTTCTTTCTTGGATACCACCTACCTTAGGAATTTTCTTGATTCTACAACAAACGTGCATTTCAGGGGATTTAGCTTCATTTGGGCTTGGCGCAAGTTCTGAAATGTTTCATTCAGGTCATCTATATGATCGTCAGCTCGCTTACTGGTGACTATCATGTCATCCACATATACTTCAATATTCCTGCTGATCTGGAGCTTAAAGACGACCTGCACC